TTATGGCAAAGTTCTTTGAATTTCATGTTCATTTGAATATAAAGTATATGTGGCATTAATTCCTTGTCAAACCATCCACATTTTGGAAACTTTCCCAGCTCAAATGTTGGATTTTGATAATATTTTTTTCTGAAGAATGACTAACATAAATAGTGATTAAAGCCAAAATATTAAATGTCATGGATGTTTGTTTACTGAGTAATTCATTATTTTTTTTAGAGGGGGGTTAAAATGACTTGATTTGGAGCCAAATTACAGGGAGGTAAAAATGCATAAAGATGGCAGCATTTTATTTTTACTCAGAGATTTGTAGGTCTATAAATCTGTTGACTATAACTATCCTTGTTGCATGCCAAGTGAAAGTTCAGAAATGGGAAAAAGCACTTCTTTTGTTTTTTGCCACAAGTTTGCATGCCTGTAACTTTACTTTAAACTAAAGTATTTAACATATCTTCATATCCTTTTAGATTCGGGTTTTTATCAAACTTTGCTAAGCGTCATCCTTTGGACTTTCCTGCTGAAACCGACCCGAGAGTCGGGGAATGTCTCTTTTTCCGTTTTACAAGTGGTTCAGTGTTCACACATTGGCAATACAAAATGTGTAACATTAAATCTAAAATCAAACATTTATGAGGCGATATGTAGAATTGTTGTGTTTTACTTGATTTATTCTTAATCCATTTAACTGAGAATTATAACATGCTCAATGAAGACTGGAAGTCAAAGTTCAATCAGTTTACTGAAGACAAAGTTCTCCACACTTCCAAAGGAAAATGAAAATGAGTTGGAAATTACGTAATATAAGTTGGAAAAATATACAGAATAGTAAGAAAACACGTAAATCCATGTATTATTTATTTATTATCATTTTTAATTGGCCTGGTGCTTTAGTAACATTGTTCGTTCAGTTATTGTTTTCTATTGTGTATGATGAACACTGAGTATTCAGGCATGCTGCTGATAAGACATACACATTTTTGCATACTGTGCAGCAGGGAAGTATTCGTATTTGTTCATGTGCATGAATCTTTCCTTGAAGACTTTGAAATACCTTTGATTACAAAGCTTCTTCCATCCAAAGCTTCTAATTTCACAATCTTTTTTGTTGTTTTATGAGCATCTGTTCTTTGCATTTGTCTACTCTTGAAGACATCTGAAGAAAACAACCCGGTCTCATCCCAAGACGTCATATAACTGACGTTTTGGGACGTCTTTTGACCATACGTCAATATTCGCCTTTTTAGGGCCCCCTTAAACGTCGGTAGATGAGGTTATGGGATCCTAACTCTACCCCAGACCTAAACCTAACCCGTCACCTAACTGACGTTAAAGGTAAAGCGTCAGTTGTATGACGGCCCGGGATCGCCATCTACGACGTTTAAGGGGGCCCTAAAAAGGCGGATATTGACGTATGGTCAAAAGACGTCCCAAGACGTCTGTTATATGATTTTTTGGGATGAGACTGTGTTGAAAAAAATTGTACAGAGATGTCAGCAGTTCAGGCAAATGAATTCTTTGCAGTATTTTATCAAGAATATAGCCAGCAGTTAAAGCAACACTGTCTATAAAGAAGGGGCACTTTATAGTGTTGTCGTCTCAGCGGCCATGGCAAGCAGAGCTTACAGAGCTGGTAAATGGACCTTGTGTGTGTCTCTCCCACCCTATAACATCCTCAGGGGACCGCAATGAAAAGATTGAAAGTTTGCGACAGATGTTAAAAAAACGAGGAGTGAACTTGGATGCGTTCCTGCAAGAAGCCAAGGTTTTCAAGTCAAATGTTGCATATTTAATCCACCCTGACAGACTCCAGTCCATGTGAGAATGTAGCCTGCATGTCTTGCAGCTGAGAGAACCACTCTTTTCTTTTTTGAAACCCATTTTCTCACTCTACCGATGCTCTTATTTATGTGGAATTATTTATTTAGAATTTAAGATGGATCCAACTTTTTCTTGAATATGTTGGCTGAGTGAAACTGTGCTAGTGAATGCGCTCGGCTCCTATTAAACACATATTTCTTGCATTTTACAATCGCTTTAATGGCATGCTCAGGGAGTATTATGAGTCTCCCCTATTGCTTTTCTTTTGTGAAGATATCAGAGCACTAATACGGAATATTAGATTGGGTGAAATTGTGATCTAACTTTTGCCGCTATGAAAGTAGAGCACATTAGGGAAGCTATTCTGATGATAGGCAGTACCAATGTGCATTTTTCAACCGTGAACTACCCAATGCTTGGGTGAAAATGTTCGGGGAATTATCTGACAGCAACAGCAGAATTATATATCAGCTCTGGCCTTGGCTCATCCTGCCCACTGATATGTTGAAAATGTCTTTGTTCTTTATGCTTCAGCCATAGTGTTCAGGGCAGAGCAAATCCATCCACTCATGGGTTCTTTATTATTAATGGCTTACATTTTATAACAAAGGAGGAAAGTGATTTCTTAACGTGTGTTGGAAGATCATCTTAAACATTTGGAAATGTGTTTTGGAAGTGAGACCATGGTGGTAAACCTTTACTTGAATCTTATAAGGTAAGTTAGTTGTGGTCAGAATGTTGAGCACTGAAATGTTTGTGAGTGGCCAATATGGATATCTCGAGGGCCAGGTTAAACTTGTGGGTACAACAAAATTGGCACAATGCATGTATATTTTTTTATTTTTTTTATTTGAAGAGGCTGTGCAATGGCAAAAAATGCATGGTATGGTATAATACTAAGATCTGTATATTATGTACTACCTTTCAAATATTTGAGTTTTTATAAGAAATCACTGATGCTTACCACGGCTGCATTTATTTGATCAAAATACAGTAAAATTCGATTGCAATTTTATTACAAGGATCAGTGGCCTGGACCTGAGGGACAATTGTATGTGACGTCTATGAAAAATCAATAAACTAAATTTGTTTTACTTAAGTACTTAATACCATTACCTAAGTCTTCAGTATTACACGATACAGTTCTTCATAAATAATTCTGCTGTGTTGATTTGGTGCTCAAAAACATTCTTGATGTTGACATACAGTGGTGTGAATAAGTGTTTGCCCCCATGCTAAAGTTGCCTAAAAAGAGGAATAAAAAATCATCTTTTGGATATTGATCTTAATGCCTTAATTAGAAAAATGAGGAAAACTCCAACCTTTAAGGACACAAATTTTCTTTGTGAATGAATAATGTATCATAAATAAATAAATGTTTTTCCTTAAAATACAGGGTGCATAAGTCATTGCCCCCCTATGTTAAATTCCCATAGAGTCAGGCAGATTTTTATTTTTAAAAGCCAGTTATTTCATGGATCCAGGATAATATGCATCCTGATAAAGTTCCCTTGGCCTTTGGAATTAAAATATCCCCACATCATCACAAACCTTCCACCACACCTAGAGATTGGCATGGTTTTACTTCAGTTAGCCTAATAGCTGGTTTTATTTGCATTGAAAGATGATCTTTGAAAGATGATCTTTCAATGTACCCCATGCCAATGTATATGACAACAAATGAACATAATGATAGCCATTGAAACATAACATTGCTAATATTATTAGATAGAGTAGCATTTTTAACTAAATACGTTGTTAGAAAAAAGAACTAAAAAGCTGCACATTAAGCATTCAAACAAACAATAAATTTGTTTTTTTCCAATGATCCATGGATGGTCAAAGTGAGCATGATTGTTCCCTGAACTCTGCAAAGCTGTTTGCAGAAACAGTGTGACATTAATAAAAGTAAAAAGACAAATAAGCACACATAAAATTATTTATATTTTTTTTTTTCAGCAACAGTATCCATTAGGTCAACTGAGCCACTCGTTCTGTTTAGGTCTAATGAGCTCACATGACCTTTTGGTTCCCTTAATTTATGATTTTGCTCAATGTTTTCTCATTTCAAAATCAATTTGGAATTTTAATGTTGCCATGTCTAGATTTCTTTCCACTTTTCGCTAACGGCTCGGCTATGTTTTCCAGTCATCATCTTTTTAACAAGTGTCAGATGTTAGTTTTCTTCGATGTCTACATTAATGAATTTAAAGATGTTTTCACTTAAGCAGCCAGCAGATATTTCTAGCATAGAGCTATGCATATTTCATTTATTCAGCATAACACTTGGCCAAGAAACAAAACTTATTTTCGTCCTGTTACTTTTGGATCTTGCCACCATTTTTTTGTCTATGAAATACTCCGAACGTAATTCATATGCTTGAATTTTTTTCTGTACGCTTCTCAACAGGTTTTTTTTTTTTTGGGGGGGGGGGGGGCATCTAAAGAGAACTGGACTCCATAAATAATTGAGTTACAAGCATACAGTGCCAGGCATGAAGAAGCTAACTAAAATTCAAACCAACTATTGGCCCAGAGGTGTAAACATTAGCCTCATTAAACAGTTATATAAAAGAAGATTTCACAGGTTGCAAATGGACTTGTGAAATAGCAACAAGCAAATGCCTTTTAACCCTTATGAATTATTCTTTAATGCACACTTTCATGGCTCTGCTCTGATAATGTCACCTAAGAAGTGGATAAGTAAAAGGAGAAATTATGAACTGTTCCAAGGACAGTTTAATGGCCAGAAACCTGGGGTATTCTCAGAAGCCGAAACTCACTCGCAATGATTTCACTGGCACAGAAAGTCATCTCTGCATCTGCCATTTTGATGCTCAATATCGATTTGAGGCTCCTCTCAAAGCGACTCTCTTCTCGGGATCAATGGAAATGTAATTTGAGAGAAGCTTCTCCAACTCAAATGAAAAACTTTGCAAAATACATGCGGTGCAGAAGTCCCTAAAGGCAGGTACAGATTAAAGGGAAACATACTCTTTTAATCAGCTGGCTTTTAACTCCCTCTTCTAGATCTTATAGAAGCAGCACTTAACATGTACATTCGAAAGTCATGGGCTTTTAGACCTTTGCCGATGTGTTGCAATTTTGACAACATGTTAAATGGATTGATGATGGAGCCCTCATTGTTGTAGCCTGATTTTTTGTGTTTGATTTTATTCCAGTGCCCCTCATCACTGCAAAAGGAGATGATGTGGAGAGTCATGAAAAGGTAAGAGTTGAAGCATGTTTACTTTTGTGTAACGGCATATGACAGCAGTTTGATTTTGAATGGCAGATCTGTAATCTCCTGTTCTTTTGTTTGCTTCTCATGCATGGCTCAAGACATATCACCCTTTGTAAAAGTTTTGTATCTCCAGCATTATAAATGCAAGCTACAGCTATAATTTGTTTCTGCTGAAAGTGCACCAATTAAAGCTAACCATATATATATATATATATATATATCGTGGGGCCAAAAAGTATTTAGTCAGCCACTGATTGATTGTGCAAGTGCTCCTACTTAAAATAATGAGAGAGGGCTGTAATTTTCAGGTACACTTCTATGAGAGACAAAATGAGAAAAAAAAATCCATGAAATCACATTGTAGGATTTTTAAAGAATTTATTTGTAAATTATGGTGGAAAATAAGTATTTGGTCAATAACAAAAGTTCAACTCAATAATTTGTAACATATCCTTAACGTTTCCTGTAAGTCTTCACCAGGTTTGCACACACTGTTCGCACACATCTCCAAGACAAAACTGGGAACCATTAAAATAGCATAATAGGGCACTTTAAATCACAGCCTGGCAATTTGACAATGGCAGTAAGCCATATCACTATCTTGATTTTTTTTATTTTTATATTGTGCAGCTCTATTGTTCATGACTTTTAATTCCCTATGATGTTTTTACACATTTTAGATTGTATTATTACCATATTTAAAAAAAAAAAATACATTTAGATTTATGCATTGCATTCAAGTTCAAATATATTTGATCAGTCTATGAATGTGTTGCTACTGTTGTTCTTTGCTCTACTGGATGTAGGCAAATTATGAAACATACCACCAAGATGTCAGTAAGCAGTAGTTATGCATTGTTCAACTCTTATTGTAATGCCCATATTCTAGAGTTGAAAGGGTTGCAAACAGAAAGAAAAAGTCTATTTATCAGTTATCTGCCACAACATGCTGTTTATCATCGGTTTTTATTGGTGCATCCCTGAGGTAATTTATTCTCTGCATTTTAATCAATACGTGTTTCTTATTTGGTTCCAGATCCATCTTCAAATTGTCAGGCTGTGTCATTGTCTTGCAATAGGCATTCGATAGAGTTTGTCTAACTCTAAGGGACTTTGACAGGGGCCTTCAGAGCTGAAATGCTGAGCATATGATCCTTGCTGCAAGTAACATTTTTCTCTTTTATTGCGTCAGCCGTTTCTGCTTTCCGCCGATAGGTTTCATGGTTAATGCATTCATTTTCTGCTGTCGCTTTTGTTGAGTTTTAAGCAGAAAGGCCACTGACATTCTGGGTCAGGAGAGGGGACATAGGACCGAGAGCAAGAAGAGGAAGCAGATACATTAGAACGCATAGAATGCTGTATTATGCGTGTGTTTAGACCTTGGCCGGGGTTCAGATGTGCTGTTACCTCTGGGGTTTGAAGCAATTTTCCTTTTCTTTGTTGATATTTCCTTCTCCTTTTTTCAATCGATAAAATTAAAAGTGAAATAGTAGTTTGTTAATGTTACCCTCACTATGGTAGAAGGTTCACATGGTTGATTGAGTGTAAAAGTGGACATTTTAATGAATCGATCTCTCTAGGTCCTCTCAGACACATGGAGAGGAGAAGAAATAGACATGAAATAGTGGAGATGCCTCTTGATTTGCACAGCAGGATGACAGGGTGGACAATTGTTCAGGCTCTCCTACTGGTACATTAATGCTCTTCAAAGACTGCACATCCTTGTGCTCCTGGGGTGAGAGGATTGACTGGTTCCAGTCAAGGACACAAATGAATGTTGCTGTCATTGCAGTTTCTATTTTTCTGCCATTTCTTTTTGTGCATTTAGTAGGACTGTTATTCGCCTATACCATTTAAATGTTTGGAAACATTAGGCTACTATTTTTAATGTTTTTGTTTTTGAAAGAAAGTCTCTTATGCTCATCAAGTTTGCATTTATTTAATCAAAACATATACAGAATATATTACTTAGAGCCAGACCGATATATCGGCAGGCCAATATTATCGGCCGATATTAGGTATTTTCAAAAAATCGGCAGTTATAATAGCCGATAAATGAATATTTAAAAAATAAAATAAAAACGGACGAATCACGCTTCAACCATGTCATGAGTGTTGTCAAAAAGTGCAGGTAAAGGGATAGCAAGATGACATTGTAATTATAAGGTGGTTTATAACTATAAGGCAATGTAGGGACTAATTATTATTTTATTTATCAGAACTTTAACATATTTTGATGTTCTTCTGTTCTGTTAAAACAATAGAAACAAGTTTCTTTTTAAAATGCATTATCATATTATTTTAGTTAAAACTCATAAATAACTACAAATAACTAATGTTTGGGAAATCTGTTAATATTTTGTTGTGCGTTTCTGAAATAAGAATAAGAATAATAATATTCTTCAATAATATTCTCGGCCTTCAAAATCCGGTCTGTTTATCGGTCTGGCTCTAATATTATTACAATTTGAAATAAAGATTTCTGTGATGGTTCTGTGAAGCTGAATTGTATACATTTATTTAAATGACATTCAAAGCATTAATAAGAATAAAATTAAAAATAATAATAACATTAAAAAAGGCAATTTAGAGGTCAATATATTGTTTTTTTATTTCCATATCATTAAACTTAGACTGTCACGATTGTTAGATAAGCATTTGTTAGCATCTTGCACCAAAATGCAGAATATTTTTTTTTAGTTTTGTTGTTTGTTACAAACCATGCAATCCTGTTGATTCTTTTGCAGACCTAACAGCTGTTTTTGATCACGTGTTATGTGCGTAAAAAAAGCTCTGTAATCTCATTCTGCTGAATATTCTCAATCTCAGTCAGGAGATATGGTCAAATACATTAGTTCATTTTAACAGATTTAATATAATATATAATTAAATATAACTATATTATATTATATATAAGTGTCACATTTGTTTGACAAAACATTAACAGAATACAATAATAATTCATATATTAATGTGCTAATGTATTACCTATTATTGAATTCATTTTTCATTTGTTAAACAACTGTGTCATTTAGCACAATATAGTTTTCTTTTGTCTGAATTTACAGTAAGTGCCTGCAACAGAAATTTGTATCTGATGAGGGCTTGTTGAGGTTCCAACTGCAGCCAATGCTTTCCCTGATAAGCGATTGATAATCGCATTATAGCAGAATGAGATATTTCAGATTTGGCATGTCATCACCACGTGAACTCCGGCTAAAAGTGAAATTGCTGTCTTGTACAGGCTTTAATTATAAAGATATCCTAGTTTACTTTAAATATTTACTTTATGGAGGTTTTCTCCATAAAATTAGAAATTAGATATTTCGAAAAATATCTCTTTTTTTTTCTTCCAGACAGTGAAAGTCAGTGGGGAAAACTTGTACTCTATTAACTTTCATTATATGGAAAAACAGTATTGTTTCTCATTGTATTGTTTTATTCTTCTTTAGAATGTCATTTTTTGTGTGTTCCGAAACTATTTTTTGTAAACCTCCTTTAAAGACCCATAAGTCTTGGGAGACCCTAAAGACTACCTACATTTTCATTTACTTACTAAGGAAGGTCACTATAGGCCTATGCGCGGTACACATGCCAACATATTTGTACAGGACAGTGGTTTCATGCAAATTATGGGATGTACACTTGTCCTTGATCTTGGATACAGGACAGGGATTATAGTTTGGCTTGAAATATGGAAAATAATCTTCAACCTTCAAATCATGTGGTTTACAACCCACCCAACACCTCATAAAAGTTACACCAAGGTGCTGTTTTCATTTTCAGCTTTTTAGTCTTGCATGACCTTTGCTGTCAACCTTTTTCAACATTCCGCATTGGTCATGCAGCTCGAGGAGTGGCGCTGGGCTCGGAATCTCAATGGCTCAGGGAAACAGAGTCCAAATGAGACTCAACAGGTCACTGGTGTGTGCTGAAATACCATATCAGGACAGAGAGAGCGAACCAACCTTGGTCTGTGCATGGAAAAAAAAGAAAGGCGGGTACAATCAAGGATTTTTCTGATGATTTCCTTGATTGAATTGCTCTGGAAGGCGAGCACACACACATTACAGCCAACTCCAGTTAAGATCGGCCCTGTAAATTCAAGCAGCTTTTCCCATGTAAATTGACTGGTGACTAATTTTTACCTCTTCAAACAGGTTCAGTCCTGTCAGTGCTTGTTTAGCTGAAGGATATCGAGAGCCAGCTGGCAAATGTCACTCTAGCTACTTGCAATCTCGGCATGCTTGGATTGGCAGTTCTATGGCATTTGTGCCAAACTGTCCTTTCTGAAGATTTCCCAGAGTTTGTGTTAACACTCTAGGAAGCATTGGGAATGGTGAATAAACAGCACTTTCTGGGCTTACCAGGTTCCTTCTCTTGCAGGAGGATGAGAAACGGCCATCATGAGGGATTATGATTGGACTCGTTCCTCAGATCAGGGACAAACAAGTTCCTCCGCTGAGTTTTGTGACAACAGTTCCATAAACTAGGATATATGAAGTTCACTCTTTTTCTGCCATTGGCCATTGAATAGTAATTGGTTCATTGACAGCTGTACGACTGGCGAAAGAGGCTCCCGGCAGGCCTGAGATGCCACAGTGTCTAGAGTTTATTATGTTCTCTTATGACCTTGTGAAGCAAGAAAAAAGATTTTGTAAGTCCCACATGTGTCTTGTGCTTTTTATTTGATATGCTTTGCAATGCCCACATGCAGTCATGCTCTTCTGGGTGCATTGTTTTTTTTGTCTCTGATATCCCCCGTGTACCGCATGTTGGTGGGTTGAGTTTGTCTTTCATTTTCTTTCGGTTTTTTGTCTGTTGACTATAGCTTTTCTTTATTTTGTTTTGAAGTATTCCCCAAAGAACAAACCTTCCTTAGGAACTTCTTTTAGGGACTTCCTTATTGGTAAATAAATAAATGGTAAATAAATACAGCCCATTCTCACCCCCAAGGCGTCAGTTAAGTGACGCCTTGGGGGTGA